ACTGAAGGTGTGGACGACAAGCTTTAGCAATGGAGGCTGCATGGAGTACATGTCAGGATGTTCTCCAGACTCATTGGTGGTATCTTTTCCTGCAGTTGGGACTGGACCTTCACCATGCAACATGTGCTCAAGGAACTTTTGTAGTCCTCTGTGAGTTGGTTGGCTGAAGTACTCCTCTTGCAATTTGAAAATGTCAGGCAAGCTTGTTTTTGCCAGTTTGGACTTGGAGGCTCTAAGCATGCCGTCTGGTGATGCTATCCACATCAGATCAGACTTGCAGCGAGTCAGCAATTCCTTCTGACTGAGATCCTGTCCATGATTGCTGTGCCACAACACTAGGGAGGGAAGAGTGTCATCATGGAACCCAATGAACAAATCCTCCTTGACAAACTGCTGTCCAGGTATTGTTGAGATGTCTTCAACCCAAGACTGAAGCTTCGTAATTGCAGACATCTGGTGGTGATCGATCACATCAGAAAACCTCAACAGTTGCTTTTCAAAGCGATTGAGGAAGGGTGGGTCTGAGTAGTTCACCTTCTGTTGGTCAATCAGCACAATGCATCGGAAGTTTTCATGCACTTGGCACATCGGGTTGCTGTATGCTCCAAGGGCTACACGGCAGTTTCGCTTCTTCCCAACAACTGTGTAATTCTGGTTTAGCATGTCATACAGACTGCCATAGATGCTGTCAAGATCTCTCAGTATCAAGATGCATCCTCTCTCCATGCAGAGGATGATTCGGCTGAGAGTACGGTAGTCATAGTCCTCTGAAAGGTCGTCATCTAGGTGGCTCCCAAAGATGGTGACTTTCTCTCTGCAGTTCAGATCTTCTGAGTCCCTGATCATTTGTTCCAGGATGCCAACAGCTGAGTCACCACTGGTGATGAGCATGAGGTGTCTAGCTTGCTTGTCCCGTAGGTTGTCTTGTATCAGCTGTTTCACATCGAGGTTCTCTTCATCAAGATCAATGTGAAGGGCCTTCAGTTTCTGTTGAAATGTTTCCATGATGGTATCCCTTTCAGTCGGGAGGCCACCAAAGTTTCTGAGAAGCCCTCTCTTCAAAACTTTGAGGTTGAACTGGGGCATGACAACAGCACCTGTATTGACATGTTCTGGCAAACAGATACATTTGATCAACGAATAGTAGTCACGCAGACCATGGAAGTTTTTGTAAGTCTGCTTTTCCTCATATTCAAAGTAAGCCTCAGCAAGGGCTTTAAGAGCATCATTTTGTGACATAGTGAGTTGTTTGCCACCTTGATATGCTCTTTCCAGTGCAGCCTGGGCAAGAGATTTCCCTGTCTTGTACAAGTCGGTTTTGTCTGGTTCAGGGCGAGACAGGTGAATAGCTCTGTTCATCTTTGCAGCATCCAAAGCCCAGTTTGAAATTCCCACTACAGCAACGTCAGGGAAGTCATCCTCAGCTGGCTCCAGCAGACTATGTAGAACTTTCAATGGGTTGAATCTAGATTCTTCTGCCAGACCAATCTCATCTAGAAGCACCACAGGCAGGACACCTCCTTCATTGTGCTCTTTGTATTTCTTGGCCTTGTCAAAGACCTTGATGATTCCCTCCGAAGTTGAAGATTCTGAGCCTTGATGAGAGACAACATACAGTTGTGGAAGTTTCTTGAAATACTCATTGGATGAATCCCGACCTCTTAAGTTGCTCCGAATCAACTGCATGGACAAGGATTTGCTGCAGCCTGGCTTTCCAACCACAAAGACAGGAATGTTGTTCAAGATGCAGACAAGCAATACAAAGACATTTTCACACAGTGCTCCATTCTTTGCTGTACCTTCTGGCAGCTCCATTCGCTCAAGAAGATCTAGCTGCTCCTTGTGGATGACGTCTTCTATCTCTTGTTCAGAGACAATGACTTTGTGTTGTCTCATGACTTCTGACAACTCTTTCCTGTACTTTGAGCGATTCTCTGAATCTGCAAGTCTGGAGTGATAGCAGTGTGCAAGTGTAAGGATGACACTTCGCACATCGACTTCATCACACGGAGAAACACCTGTTACATACATGTATGACCTTGTCCAGTATCCTGTTTGTTTGTAGAGAGCCTGTAGTCCTTTTGTATTCAGCATCTCCACAAACCATTTCATCAGAATGCGGCAACGGTTTACGTCCCGCAGACTGACACCGAACTGGTTCCCTTCCACCTTCCGAATGAAGTTTTGTGAAGATGACAAGAGATCAACGAGCATGGCAGGCTTGACTTTAGATTCAGCAGGGAATACACCAGTGACCATTTTTGTGATGTAGGACCTTTCATCTTTCTCGTTTAAGGTCCCATAATCCCAGACATAGTCCAACATTGACTCTGGTAGAGGGTGCACTCGGTACACAAGCTTGGAGCATTCATCAAAGCTGATCTTACCTTCCAGGCCAGCTGTATGCAGTTGAGAGCTTTCCCGTTGCCGATAGGGGTTGCAAGCTGCCAACAAGATCAGATTTTCTGGCAGTTTCTTTCCGAGCATGGAATGATGACAAATGATTTCGTTGATTAGTCCAAGATGGTCACAGGTGTTGATTTCATCCAAAAAGGCCCAAACCTCACGAGACAGGTTTGACCTTGCTTCTTTAGCTCTGTCGTCTACGAGGGCTATGATTTTATCTTCTGTGACTCCAGCATGGATGCTGAGGACCTTGAATGGGACTTCGCATGTTTTTGCCAGGTACCTGATGAGGCTTGTCTTGCCGCAGCCTGTCTCTCCCATGATGATGACTGGGATGCGAGCCCTCACCCTCATGATGACAAGGGCCATCTTTAACAGATTGTCTGGAGTTAGGGCATACCTCTTGTCAAGTGTACCAGTCCTCTCTTTCCCCAGCTTGTGAGATGTAGTTCGAGCAATCCGCTCCAGTATCATTTGCAAGTCACTCTGATTTAAAGTTGAAAAATCTGGAAGAGGTCGATTAACCTGCTGTTTGAACAAGTCCTGTATTTTGACAGGGACTTGTTGGAGGCTCCTGTACAGTGCAGATACTGTTTGTGCGTCCTGGCTGTGAAAGATTACCATCAAATGGTTGCTGTCTGCCCAACGAATCATTCCTTCTACTCGACTGACCATCTGCATTGCTGATGATGATGTACTAGCAGCTTCTTTCAGCTTTTGAACAGCTTGTTCCTTTGTCATTGCAGATGACTGGGTGCTGCGGCAGGACAGTACTGACCGGGATGCAAATTCCTTTGAAACATCTAGCAGGGCTGTGAACAGATTCCTTCGGACTTGGTGCTCATGTTTATCTCCCAACATGATACGTAGATTTGCAGTGCGAAAGTACTGACTGGCTGAGAATTTCTTGAGCTGGTCTGCCAGAACGGACAAAAATATCTCAACTATGGTAAAGGAAAGGTCAGTGCCTGTTGAGAAGTACTTTCTCAAAAGATCTTTACACCGTTTGGCAGGGAGAGGATTGACCCTCTTTGGTCCTGACAGTGGTATGTCTGTCTCATCAATGGTTGCTCTATCCAATGCCTCCAGGTAGTGGCACACAACCTGAACTGGGCTGTTGACCTCTGGACTGATGATGAAGTTTTGGTAGTTCTCCCACTTGAGATGAACCCTTTCAAAGCACATGCTTGTTACCAATGTGTTACGCAGAGCATGATTTAGGGTGTTAGCTACTTCCATAATGATGTGCTCTGTAGGTCTGCGTGCCAAATTCGTTCCTGAATGCACAGCACCTACAACAATGAGCTCAAATATGAAAGCATCCAATAGGTGTGGGTCATCTACAGGTGAAATGTCTAGGTGCAGAACTTGGTATGGCTGTACTCTCAGGTTTGCCAAACGTCTGACCAGGTAATCTCTTGTGATGGGTCCCCCGATGGGAAATGACACCACGCCCATGCCCTTTCTGCTTCCCTGCTCTTGAGCAAACTCTGTCTTCCCCCAATCCAGGGATGTCTGACGTCACCATTTTCACATTTGGCCACAAGGTGGAGAAGTATTGCCTCATAGCAACATCACTCATGCCTTGGATCCTGTGGGTGAGACGTGAAAACTGATCCAAGATGGGATGATGCGCCCCTCCTCGGCATACCAAAGCCATGAGAAAAGGGCTGTCTAATGAGTGCAGTTGTTTGATCTCATCCACAAGCTTGAACTGTATGTCACTTTGTAGGAGCTCCACATTAGCAATGCAGAACAAGCAATTGCCCAGCTGAGGTTGGTTTGGGGCTCCAACACACCTTTGGAGAAGAAGGTGAAGTTCCTCCCATTTTGTGTCTGGACTGCAGATGATAATCTGATGTGGTTCTGGAAAGCTACCTGTTGTACTCTCATACAGATTCATGATAACGTTCACAACTTGAGAACTTTCTGCATCAAGTGCTGCTACAAAAACCTTCCAGCTTGGACCCTTGTACGAAGTGATGATATACTTGAAGTTGTTGTACTTGGTGACTGCTGTTTTTGCTTCTTATGCATTTGTCTCTTTGGAGCCAGAAGATTCCCACAGATCTTGTCCATTGCTGAGCCAATCTGACAAAGTCTTGTGTAAGGATTGCTTCCCTTCTTCTTTGGCGATGTGTACATCTTCCTCACTTCCTCATTCACAGTGATTGAGGGATGAATAAAGTGGAAGAGTGAATCCAATTGGGGTGTAATGGGGTGCCCATTGAAGAAATCATCAAGGATCCAGAGCTGGTCAGAGTAAAGGTAGTTGAGATAGTAGTGCTCTCTTCTGGCCCTCTTCAATGTTTCCTGCCAGGTGGCATACTCATCCCTCAACCTTGCATCTAAGTCTGTCAGTTCCTCAATGTTTGAGACAGACATTTTAAAGGTTCGGTACTTGAAGTGCCCAGAGGAATGGAGACTTTCACAGGACAAGGCAATGTTGGAGGCCAAGTCTATGCAGGCGATGAAGTGAGACAGTTCTGTAGATGATTCAGAGACTTGTGGCACTTCCCCAGGTGGGCATGTCAGACCTTTATCTGAGTTAACAATCAGCAAGGCCCTGCTACGCAAGTCACGGAGGTCTGACATGGAGTGGCTAGCTTTTGTTTTCCCCCTGTCATAAGACATGGTCACCTTGCATGTGCTAGAGGTGTCCAGGTCAAAAGCGTAATGACCTTTCATGTATGCATTGTGAGCTATTTCCTTGGTCATCTCTCCTCGATTGGCAACACTTGCATACAGGCCTTTCAAACTGTGGAAATTAATGCTGCAGTCATTGATCTTCTCCGGTAGATTTTTTATAGACATCTCGCGATAGTGCTGGAGTTTGTTGATAAACTTTTCTGGGTTGTTGTCAAAGTTGTCTTTAAGCAGTGGTTGCAAGTACCTCTTTACCTCAATTAGATTTGAGACAGTGGATTCATTCACAAACTGCTCAGAGTGTTCCTCAACAGCATCTATTAGGTTCCTCAGGTCTTCATCCACTAAATCTCTAAGAAAGGCCAGAAGCTCTGATGACCTGCTCAACTGTTCTATGATGTCATTGTCCTCCTCTGAAAGTTTGCTGACAATCTTTTCCACTTTGTCCACAGCTCTGTGAAGCTCACTCAAAGAGGTGTCCTGTACAGCTCCTTTCTCACACAGTTGCAAGGCAGTACAAAGGTCACTGGTAGATTCCACTGAGACTTGGAACAGCTGAAGTGCAGCAGACAAGTTGTGTACTTTCTTTTGGGTTTTGGGAAACTCAACAAACTCTTTTAGAGCTTTTCTATTTGAGGCAGGAATTTTGCTGCAGAGCAACTTATTTAGGAGGGATAATTCTGTTTCCATGTTATAAGCATCAGGGATGCCAGCAAACATGAATTGTACTGTTTCCAATGGAATTTTCAGGTTGTGCTCAGTGAGTGGCTGGCATTGCTCTTTGAATTGATCTAGAACCTCTTCTGACAGACTGTTGACTAATTGTACCATAGAGATGGCTGGAGGAGTAGATAAAGAGTGACCTGCTTCAACTGTACCTGAATCTGCAGAAGGCTTGTTTTCTTCTGTCTTCTTCTCTTCTGAGTTTTCAGAGGTCTCATCATCCTTTCCTCCATCTTCCTTCCAATCTTTCTCTGCAAAGTTCCGTTGGAGAACATTTCTAAACACAAATGACTGTTGGAAGCCATCAAGAGATTTGGCTGGCTCTTGTAGGTCATACAGCTTGCCCCAGTATGTAGGTTCACTTAAATCTGTCACTGTCAAAGTTTTGTCCTCTTTAAACCTCTTCTTCTGCTTCTGGAGGTCACTTCGTAGACTTGAGATATCACTGATTTTGACAAAACCCTCTACCATAGAGGTGAACATGTTCAGCAGGTTATCTATATTATCCAACAACTGCTTGTGTGATTCTAGTTGCTTGATGATATCACGCAGCACATTCTTTGTTGGTTTTGAAATGCTGCCCTGCCCTTCATGCTTCCTTGTTGCATCAATTAGTAGAGCAAGTACGTCCATACCTCCCCTCATGTCACTGACTTTCTCAACTACTGCTCGGAAAAGTTGGATCTTTACATTTCCTGACTCCAATTGCTCCCCAAACTCTATGAGCACACCAGTGACGGTTTTACATTTTGGGTGCTTATGAAGTTGTGTTGTCCTTCCCTTTGCATTGAGCATTGCAAGCCAAAATCGTGACTGTCTTACCACAGTCAAGAGGAGCTGGAGGTTGACTGCCAGGTCATGGTCAGGTTTCTTCTCAGGCAAATCCATTAAGTTCATCAACATTACCAACAGGTCTTCTGTCAGCCTGGAAAAAACAAACAAAAGTTGTTTAAATGACTTGCCCATTTTGAAGTCTGAAATTCTAACTTTGCTATACTAGCAACAAAACAATGAGAAGAAGGAAGTAATGGATTTGCACTGCAATGTTGATATGGGCTGTATAAAACAAAACCCAAATGTTCTAGAAATACATAAAAACCTAATAAGAATATTATCAAAAGTTTCCTTAATTCTTTCAATTCAAACAACACAAAATGTTACCTACTTGTATTTGATATCCAGTCCAAGTGATGCCATGGGGGGCTTCATGTCACAGATACTGTAGGCTATCTCTAGCACATCCTCAGACAGCTGTGAACTACCCTCTTGCTTGATCATCTCTTCCAGGTGTTCTTTATACAAGTGCTGAGCTTGTTCTGTCATATCCTTCATCCCCTCACACTTTGTCAGTAGTATCTTCCATCCAAACTTCTTTATGAAGTCCTTAACAACATCCCCAAGGGCCATTTCAATTGTTTTGTCACCACCCACAAGCTCTGTGGCCATCACCTTGAGCAGATCATCATACGCTCTTGGTATGTTCATGTCTGCTACAACTGTGGTTTGGTAGTACTTTCGACTTGTGGTGCAGTGTGCTTCTATGGCAGTGTTCAGCCACTTGACTGACAATTTCCTTGCATCTTCTTTGTCAATTTCTTGGCTCATCTTTTTGTCATGGGCTAGTACCAGGAACATGGACTGAAAAACCTGATCTTTCGATGTTGCTACAACTTTTAAAAGATCCAATGCCTTTCTGCTGGGAAAGAGCATGCTGTCTGTGATCATCTTCTGTAGTTTATCAGCCTGGTTTGGGGAAAAGGTACGAGATTTGGATGCCAGTCCAATTACTGCTGTTGCTATCTGGTCTTGGACAAGTGGACCCATTCTGCCTTCATGTACCACTGTCCACAGCTGGTAGAGCTCCTCTATGTTCCTGGGCTCCCTATATGACTTCATAATGGTTTCAATGCTCTTTAAACAGTTACTTTCCAGGCCTTCTAGCACCGATTGAATGTTATCAACATGATGATATTCTGCAACAACTTCAAAGATGGCAATCTCTGTTCCAATGTCGGGGGCCTCCCTCAGTAATGCTGCAATTAGACGATGGCTTTGTGGATCTCCTTGACAGTGTTGCTGAATCAGATTATACACAGCAACTTTTGAGTACTCAATGTACTGAGCTGGATTACGCTTCTTTGACCACTCTCTGAACTCCTTTAATGAAGCCTGATGCAGAAGGAAGCTGGCTTCAAAGAGCTTGCTGCAGTTGGTGACAAGCCAGACCCAGGGCTCATCCTGTTTTGCTGCAGTCAATAACTGCGGTACAATGATCTTCAGACCACTGATGCAGCTGGATGGAATGTCTTCAGCTCTTGAACTTGACAAACCCTGAAGAAGTGACTTAGCATCAGCTTGGGTGAAGTCGAGCTTTTCCAAGTAGAAGCCACTCTGTAGTGACATTTTTCCAAGCACAACACAGAGGAAAGATAGCTGCGTCCAATTTGCTCTCTTGCATAACTTTGCGATTCTTTCCAAAATCATCTTCCTCTTCTCCTTGGGAGTAAAGCTTGGATTTGGGAATTGTAGATCTTCCCATTCGAGCAGCCTCTCCTTTAGATTTCCCTTCATTACATTATTGAAAATATCTTCTGTGAAGAACAGCTTCCCATAGAACTCAATGCTTGGTTTGTACTTCTTTTCAACTTTTGAGTTCTCAAAGATATCCCTGTGAATATTAGCTGTACCATGAATTCTAGCTGTCATTTCATCAATCCAAAAAGCTTCTTCACCTTTGACCACATGAAGAGCCTTGCCAACTGTCTGTAAGATGTTTTCCTTCGCTTTGTACTGTACGCTATATTGGTAGCGAGTGTCTCTGTCAGCTGGCAAGAGCACAGGATGCTTGGTTGTCCACAAAATCTTGTCTACAATAGGCTTTAATGGGTAGTTCTTTCTCTGTCCATTTTCACGGACGTACAGGACAGCATCGCAAGTTGAACACTCACCGAGTTCCTCAACATACAAGAAAAACTCCACTTGGAGTAGCTGTAAAGCCAAAAAAGTCAACCACATATTATAAATGCTATGCCACCATCTTTTCCAACACATCTATATTGTGAATCATGAAATAACATCCTATAACGTTAAATCCCTCCAAAGTTTTGCCAACAGCTAGGGTTAATGTCTTTGCCCTGAACCACCACAATGCACTTAATATTGCATTTGTTTGCCTCACAATTAAGATATGTAACAGAGCCCATTACATCCAAAATAGATATAAAAATGACATGAATTTTAAGCACCCACAGCACCTGATAATTGTTAGACTCAATGGCTGATATTGTTGCCTAGATGAAGGACAGTATATTGTATAATAAACTTTGTACAAAATTTGTATCTACACTAAGCCAATAATTGCCTCCTGAGACAGTGAAAATTGTAATGAAAAAATCAATAATTATTCTTTCAAATTTCCAGGTGTACTGAAAAACAGTCAGATACATGTTTGCACAGACAAAATGACAAATCAACTCAATGACATATAACTTGTAGTATCACTTATCAGACATGAATTCAGAAATTGGAATCTCTACCTTTGTCTGCTCAAAAGCCAGCTGTTTTGCTGTAGCTGCCTGATGGTTTGGTATGACCACAAACTCTCCTTGATCAAAAGCTTCATCAGCTTCACCACTGGTTGTTTTCATAACTAGTGACACCTCAGATGGCCCATGGATCTCCTGTAGCAATTGTCAACCAAGTAAAATGCTTAATAAACAAGAGTTCCGAGACCTCATACCTGTATGAAATATGGGCTTGATATGTAAATGTAAATTTCTTCTTTAATTACGCAAATGACCTCACCATTAACATAATATATGCATCGTGATGTTAACTTTTGATTAACTTACAGATGTCCCAAGTATGACATTCCCATCATTCACCATTAAGAAATCATAGAATTTTCGCATTAATTATGCAAATTAGGTAATCATTTGCATAATAAGTATCTGTTGATTTTCCATCTGCCATAGGTTACATACATTACATGTATGAAAGTACTATAATGTAAAACACTGTAATTATAGAATTTCCTCATTAATTATGCAAATTAAGTCCTCATTTGCATAATTTGCATTTAATTATGTACATCTTTCTCTCAGCTACCTACCTGCCAAAAATGATGAAAATATGTTGTTCCTATCTGGACTTATTGGCTTCCAAAGATTTAGCCCAAAGGTCCCCTGCAGTTCCAGAACAAGCTGCTAGGGGGACCAAAGCCACACCACTTATTCCTGACAGGAAAATCTATCTGTCACCAAAAATTCAAGACCATAGCATGTTCAGGACAAAAGATACAAAAAACGGAAGTTCTGCTGCAGTACCAAGGTCATCCACCAGGAGGCCCATATTTGACCTTGACCTTCGTCTTCCTAAGACTTACCAGCATACCAAATATCATCACAATCCATAAAGGCATTATGAAGTTATGCTGACTACAAATGTGCGGAAACACAAACACAGACACACACACACACAGACAGACGCGCCAAAAACAATACCTCCATTTTTCATGGAGGTAATAAAAAGACAGTGATCTATTGACTCAGAGGCAGTAAGTCTTGAAAGTAACCATTAGTGATGAAACTAGTGACGCCCTAACCGCGTGCACCGCTTTCAAAAATTCAAATACAAAATTAGGACGTTGGAATTGATTTTGCTGCATTTTTTTGGTTTAGGGACACCAAATTTTCACTCATTTCACATTGAAAGGCGTGTTTTCTTGGGTGGCCCTGGGTATGACATAAATAAAATACAACAGTGTATTCCGCATCACCCTCGGTCCCAGCCCCCCCGCGGATTGGATCGCCCTCCGGCCTTCGGGCGCTCCGATACACTGTCAGAGCGACACAAGTTACTAGTATGCCGCGGAGGGACAGTTTTGGTGCCCAAGACCTCCTTATTTCTGTGTTGGAACCTTCCACTATAACACAAGCTGTACCAACCGTAATGAAGGTGAGCGTGTGCCAGCCTTTTGCTTGTGTATGTGTGAATTATCCTTGCGCGAACATGTGAATTGCCCTTGCCTCTGCGTGAACATTTTAATAGCCTCTATATGAAAGGCTGGCTTAATCCCGGGATCCCATCCCTTCTAGACTTCTCAAGCGGCAAAACGGTTCAGACCCTCTCTCCCCAGCAAAGTCCCTCTTGCAGCTTGAGTCATAGTGGAAGGTTCCAACACAGAAAGGGGGTCTGAACATTAATGTTACAACAAAGGCATTGCTGTGCATTTAAGCATCTCATGCAATTAAACCAAGACAAAACTTTGCAGTACTATTTTTGCTGGTAAAATGTGCGATTCTTTCTATTACTAGTATGCAACTTGATGCTGTGCGGTCAGTTACCCTCCAGTCCAGTGATCAGTGAGGTCAAACCACCACCAACAAACAACATGCTGTCTTTACCGGCAAAGTCCCTCGGCGGCAAAACTGTCCCTCCGTTGCATACTAGTAAGTTGCATCAAAAAACATTAATACCACCATCTCCGAAGTCTGCGAAGGAGGCTAGCATGTTAAGATTATGGAATTTCAAAACTGGAAGTTCAGCTGCCAGGGGACCCGAAATCTAATCCTTTTTAGGATTCATGAAAAACTAATAAAGTATATACCTACCTACCTTCCAAATATTGCGACAATCCATCTTAGCCTTCTCGATGATGACTGGTTTATTGATTAAAAACATTTTGTAGCCCAGAGGCTGAATTGCATGTTTCATTACATCAGTGCCCACCTTAAAAACTTTAAAATGTCATTCTAGTTAGGCATTTATACATAAAATTGAATTGCGATCTCTATATGTGTAAATGATAAAAGACATAATACATTAATCGTTTACGTTTATAACTCATTTAGGACTTTTACTATAGGGCAAGGGGCTCTTGAAGTAGCGCTTTGTACGTGCTAGAATAGGGTCGAATTTGTTTTTTTTTTTGCCTTGTTGACCTCCCTGTTACTTCGCCTCTTGTCTGAGGAAGCCAGTGGTGATAGAGAGTTGATTTGCACAGTTTTTTCCCGAACTCTCGGCACTCTCTCATAGAGGCTGTGTAACCTCAGAACTTTACAAGACTGGTCATACAAGAGGTACTTGAGTAAAGGTGATAACAAACACACACAGAGACACACAAACACCAACAAAAACATAATCTTCTTGGCAAAGCTAATAATTAATATAACTGTCTTGGTGAAGGTAATTATTATAACTAGTACATGTAAGACTAGATTAAGTGTATATTGTAAGCTCTGACGCTCTTATGAAAACATATACACCTTTTTAGTGAGTCCACATGTGTATAAATAATATACAAAATATGAAAAAGTCAAATTGAATGCATAAGAACAGTGTCTACTGTGTGTACAATGTCATGTAGTTCCATTGTGCTCCAGAGCCTTTAAGTCTGGGACACATTTACCTTGAGATACATGATTGTAGACAAGAGCTGATAAACTTTCTCAAGCTCACTTTCTGGTTAATTTATTTGGACTTAGGTAAAACTGTTCATTAAAGATTTCGCCAAAAGGAGGGTCCTTTGCCACATGTGCCATTTGGAAGTTAGAGATTTTCCAGTTAAGTATGGTTGATTGTAAAAATAGCAGCTACGCTGTCCTGCTATCCAATGCCTTTCAGCAATCGTTTCAGGAAAAAAACCTACTGGGTAATGAGAATGTGTGATATACTTATTGACTTACGGGCTTGTTTGTGTAGCTCTGTTCTGTCATGTTGCCGCTGCTTTGAGTATCAGTTCTTTGCTGAAACTGTACAGATGGGTTTGAACTTTCTGGTGGTGGATGCTTGACATCTTTGTTGTCCCCATTGATACCTTTTCCCTAAAACAAACATGTTAAATAAATGTCACACTGTTTCCAACAACTAAAGGGTGACCACATTTTACACAGGTCCATAGCATAGTACTACCAAGGAGGTTAAATACGTTGGTACCAGGGTTCTAGCCAGGTTGAAATTTTTGTCCGTCATATCAGTTTTGCATGAGCCAACATCCAGACGAGCGCCGAAGGCGCAAGGGGTCGCGCCGGTTGTGGCTTGACCCTCCTAGGGGGGTCCGGGGGCATGCTCCCCCGGGGAAATTTTTAAATTTAAACCTTCTAAAACGCTATTTCCTGCATTTTGAAGGGTAAATTTGGCTGGTAAAATAAGGCTAGTTTCATGACTTGTTAATCGAAAAATTACACAAGGGTTTGATTTTTGGGAGGCGCCATAATGGGGTCAAGATCGAATCAATCAAATTATGTCACGACGTGGCACAAGCCCAGCTAACTTCTATCAAGTATTGTATAGGAAATTGGCACAGAAAAGAATCATTCAGTTCAGCTAACTTTAGCACAACAAAACTTTATTAGTGTAACAATATGTATATTGTTAGTATCAAAGCATTTGTATATTATCGCCGGTTCTATCCCCTCCCTTGGGCGGTGCCGCGGTCGCCTGTTCGAACACGTGCCAGCGCACGTGCCAACGTCGTGTTCGAACAGGTGATCTATACCGGTACCGTTCGAGGGAAGGGGCTCTAGAACCGGCCGGTTACAGATTGAATAAATGAGTTGAGATCAAGCCATTGACGAGTTCAGACGTGCGCCCTTCTTCGTCCTGTTACATCTGGTGGCAGCGGTGCGTTGCCGCTTGCGAGCGGCCGCACCCACCGCACGCCATCCCGACGATGCCGCCCGACTACGCCAACCAGCCCCCGGCCTCGAGCAGACTTAACCGCCGCCA